GCTCCTGCCTGTGCCCCATGCCCTCCCTCACTGCTGGGGTCTTGATTGGTCTCCCCCACCCCCCACAGCCCTTTCCTTTCCCCCTGCCCCTTCCCCCACAGTCTTACCTGCTGGGGATACATGCCCCCAAATAATTTTTTGTCCCTCTGCCTCAATCTGCCCTCCCACCCTTCCCGCCCCACAGACTGACCTGCGGGGGGTGGGGTGGAGCAGCGCAGTGCATGGTAGATCTTGGGTTGCTTTTTAATTAAAAAAAGTGATCTTCTACCCGAAAAGGTTGGAGACCACTGGTTTAGGGAAATGCAGAAGAAATGAGGATGTCATTTGTTTTGTCCTCTAGCTAGTCACTGCAAAGCTGAAACACTTAGGAAATAGTGAAAATGGTTTGTCGCATATCAGTTAAAAGCATTTCTATAGGATGGTGATATTAATAAATGCAGATGGATGCTGACAGGAAAACCACGGAGTGTTAACTAGGATAGTCCCATACCCAACTGAAATCTCAGATATGTATCTGCATGCTTTTGACTGGACACGTGTTTTCTCTTTCTCTTCTTTGCAAGCACTATTAACAAATACAGAGTTTTCAAGCACTGATCTATGGATGCAGCGCATGCAAGCAAGCAAACAAACAAAAAAAAGTACTGTTTGATCAATATTTCAAGTCACTGGGCATCAATTTAAAGGGTTATATTTTTTTATTAGGTCAAAATAAGTAAGTTTCAAATACTACATGTTGCTTCAGTTGCCAGCCTTTATAACATTTGAAATTGTTCAGGATGGGTCAGTGAGGTTTTGAAATGCATTGAGGAGATCAAAACACTTTCAAGGTAGTTGGAAAGGGGAAGAAATGGGGAGAAATTTAGAATGATTTTTAAACAAGACATTAGCGTGTGTCACATTAAATGAATGCAATTGAATGACTAATGAAATGATAATGGTAAGTACAGAAGAAATCAAATAGCACAGTGGTGAGAAGGGGGGTGTACAGTAACAAACCAAACTGATGGCACTAGGGATACCTGTACTCAATCACGGAGGCTTCTCTGATGTGCTGTAATTACAGTGCGTGGGAGCAGGCTCAATTAATCAAGTCTGCTGGAGTGTGGCAAATTACCACGCTCCAGCAACTTCCTGCATCCCATGTATCAGTGTCCCAATGCTTAAAAATGGCAGTGGGGGCACTTGAAAAAAAGGTCAGTTGATGAGCTTTAGTTCAAGCACCTCCATCACCATTTTTAAGCACAGGAATGCTGATACATGAAACGCGGTGGTGCTTTAATTAGAGTAGCTCTCGGAGCTGCTTTAATTAAAGCATCACCCCCCACCCCTGGAGCAAGTATAAAAGTGCCCTGTGTTTTGAAGGAGAATCTAACAAATACAATGGCCCTCATTAGATAGCTGTTGCATGCCCATAGAATAGAGTATGCATTTCACTGTCATGTAAAGTTGCTTGGCATGATTATTGTGACAAAAATCCAAGAGTTCCTATTGGTTTGTATTGTGAAAAGCTAGTTAAAACAGGATATGTAGTTTCGGTATGTCATCCATTTAAGCTTTGAATCAGAATGTGTTTGGAGCATCTGAGTTCAGTGTTTGGGTTAGATTGTTGATAGCTACAGATCTTTTCATGTAATCTACAGTCCCAGAGCCTTATCAGTCCATTAGTCCCCCTAAAAAAAGGTATTGGGCTATTTAATGCAATTCAGGGAAGAGAAATTTTAAAATTCTAAAATTGTAGGAGAGTACAGCTCAGGTAAGTGGGGTGGCAGAGGCAAGGAGGAGAGGGGGAAATCTACATTTATTCTCTACTGACACTTTCTCTTTAGGACAACAATGAATAAAGCCAGCACACAGAAGAGGACTGTGGTGAAGGACCAGTATGGAAAACATGTTCATGTGGAACAGCTGGAGGATGTACCAGAAGCACTACCGCAGGATGACCTCCAGCATGACCTGCAGCAACTTCTTAGACATTTTTGCAAAGAGGACTGGAAGCAAGAGGCTAAACAAGAAGCCACCACATCTCCACAATAGAACACATATCCATCCATCTAGTGTGCAGCATTCACAATCTTCTATAGATGTAGACTCTGTAACTTACATAATCACTGGAAGACACTGACATTTCTCCTTGGGCATATGCAGTGAATTCAGTTTGTTTATTTCTTTTTCTTTTCTTTTCCTTTTTTTTAAACCCGAAAGCTAATTTGTGACCAAAGATAGCATCCTTCGTTCAGGATGATTTATCCACTAAGCCGCCATCTTTGTGCTGTACTGAGAACTTGTCAACTTTGCCACTTTTTGCTCTTCCTTTGCTTCTGCACTAGCTCCATGAAAATGCATTTGTCAAGCCAACTTCATCCACAGGCCTCTTCAAGTGACTATGTACATGCATCATAAGAAGGGATATTAATATGTAAACTGTACGTAGCTAAAGTGCTTGGACTTATAAGACTGCAAAAAAAAGAAGAAAGAAAACTCACTGCCTACGACTAGAAATAGCTTCGTGGATTACAAGGTCTATCAAAACTGATGAACAGCGATTATTAAAAATATTGCTAACACAATCGACTGAACACACAGACCCACTGGAGAGGAAGCACTGCAGATCTACTGCATCCAGAGGACTTCCAGTTTAGTGATCTATCATAATTAAAGGCTCTAAGAGTCAGATTGTTACCCTTCAAATGCAGCTGTTCCCATGAAATTACAGCTGACTGTTGCCATCAATACTTTTAAGACTCTTGGACAGCCACTTAAGGATTTCCAGAAGAAAAAAAAAATAGGTAAACAACTTGCTAGCAGCTATATCTATGGCACATTTGCATATGGTATTAAAATCTTTTAGATCTGGACATGTGGCAGGGTATTTTAAACAGCTATAACTACAGTAGTTTCCTGTTTTCATCACTGCTTTAGCAAACCACATTGTCTTATTGGTGGTACTTCCTGCTGGCCACTGCACTGTAGATAACTACGGGAGAAAGACTTTCCACTATACAAAGAGATTAAGTAATTCACCATGATTTATCAAGATTGTCTCTTATCTGATACATGCATGTGGCATTTGAAAACTCAAAACCAAACCCTCTTCTAATCATGTCAATGACGTGTTAGCCCTCTTAGCACTGAGCGAGCAGTTTTTACCTTCAAATTAAGTTGTTTGTTTGGTTGTTTTAATTTTGCTCACTAGAGCAGAATCCTTGCAATTTTTGTTAATATTTTCTTTGTTTATATATTTCTAAACAAACCCTCTGAAAATCAATAGCATTTCTGCACTTTTATTTTCAAAGAAGGGAATATAAAAGATTGAAATATTTTGTGCCCTATACCTTATTCTACTAGTGGTTGGAGCTCTGTAGTATTTTAACATATAATATATATATACATATAAAGATACAGTTTAGTTATTTGATAAAGGGAGAGTATATTCAAAAAGGAGAAGAATGATTTGAGGCCTCCATGGGGTGAGTGAAATTTTTCCAACCGTATCAGGCATTTTACTCTTCTGTGGGGAAAAAAAAGTGACTCACTCAGTGCTCAGAAAGTCAAAACAAAAAACCCACCACAAAACAAGGGCACTTCCTCATTAAAGTAATGAAGCCAAAAAAGCAAAATATCATGGGAGGTTCGATTTCCTGCAGGCAAAACAAGGCACTGTGCTAACTGTTTTTGGCAGTCAAACAGGAAACAAGCATTTTTTGGCAGCCAAAATGAAAGAGACCCATGATGAAACATTTCAAGATACACCATGGCTTTCTTAGTGTCAAGGACATCACCAGATGACCTTCAAGAACGAGGGCGCTAAAGAAATGCATTTCTGTTGTGTTACTTGCGGTGCAGATGATGTTCTGTGTAACAACATAATGGTTATTCACCTTTTTAATTTTGAATTTTTGCTGTGTTATCAAAGAACTTGAATACTGTGAGAAGAAGTGAATTTTAAGTTGATGAATCAGCATCTTGTTCCCATGGTGATAACACTGAATATATCTATGAGGGCATGTATTAGTTAAAGATTTAAAAAAATACAAACACTAACAATACATAGCTGCAATGTGTACAATGGCTGATTTAATTAAATAAAATGTACAAGTGTTAAATGTAGCAATAATGGCATGTTCTCTTTTACTAGCAATGTGTTAGGGAAGAATGTCCTAACTTCAATGTCCCAGTCGTCCCACATCCTCAACATTGAATTACTTTTACATAAAGTGTCAAGATTGCACTATAAGCACATAACACTCAAGGTTACCTTTAGGATGTAGGGCTCAACGTTAAGGACTAACATGCATCTCCAGTTATCACATCATAACATGCAGTATAAGGAACTGATAGGTAGCATAATAGTGAAGGTAAACGATGGCATTGGATTGTATTGACTTGTTTGGGCACCAAGGGCAACATTTACCTTTCAATTGTTTTGTCTTCAGTAGGCATAGATATGGGCCAGATTATATTTCTTAGTACCCATGACTTTACACCTGGAAGTATGGAAACTGTTAATCCAGGTTACTTAACCTGAAACATATAAGACAAAACTCTTCCCTGATTTATATGCCTTCTAACCACTGACAACGTAAGGCAAGTTTAATGCAGAATTTGACCTTTTGGGGTCTATAATACACCAAATTCTGCTTTCAAGTGCCGTGGTGTAAATCTGAAGTTGTTCTGTTCTCCCATTGGAGTGTCTGGCCACACCAGAGTGCACACTGGCCACAAGGGAAGAAGAATCAAGACTTGACTTGTATGTTTTCTTTGAAGAAGCCAGGAGGTGCATCTCAGGTAATTACTTTGCTACTAGTTAAATAGCTTTCTGATGCTGTACATTTCAGACACAAAGCAGTTGAATCTCTGTTTTAAGTGGAAGGGGAGCAGGGAACAGAACAAACCAATACAAAAGCTCAGGTCTTAATGGGGAAGCTGCTACTGGTGCTTCTGTTAACCAAAGATTTAGACCATAAATCTGTTGAGTAATTACCAAAAAAAAAAAGAAGAAAACAGAAAACTTTCACTGGGGAATGATTGGCTAAACTGCAGTACTGCAGAGAAGGACCTAGGGTTACAGTCAGAAACGGATCTAGTATTTCACAAAAGGCGTGCAGCTGCAGTGACTAGTCCTACAGGATTGGCTGCACAACCTGTTCCCTGCTGCCTCCATCCCTTCCCCCTCTCACCAGGATGGAAAGACCACGCTGCAGGGAGAGCAGCCAGGGATTCAAGTCCCAAGAAAGGTAAGAATTTTATCCCCCTACCCCTCCATGCTCAGCAGCTTATCTCCTCCCCGCCTATTCCCCGCTGCTGTGCCTACCTCTGCTACTGTCTGTGCTGTCCCAGGGTTGCTTCGGTCCCAATCCAGCAGTGCTGGCCTCACCCCCCTGCCTTGCTCCCTGCAGGTGGCAATAATGTAGTGGGGGGGCAGGCTACCAGAGCTGGCCTTGCCCCCGCCCCTTACTCTTTGCAGATGACAGTGGAGGCAGCACGGGGGGGAAGGAGCGGGGTCGGGACGTCACGGCTGGAGTCGGTGGCCTCACACCCCCCCCCCTTCTGTTGTCACCGAAACAGTGGGGGAGGTGGGGAAGGAGAGCGCCTGACGCAGGTTGAGGGAATAGCAGGTATGCAGCGTGGCAGTGGGGGGAGGGGAGGAGTGGACCTCAGTTCCACACTGGGGAGAAGCCGGCCCGCTGCAGCTGGGGGAGCAGTGGGCCTGGGCCAATCCAGCAGGGGTGGGGAGCCAACGAGGTGAGCCCTAGCAGTGAGCCAATGGGGGGAAGAGTGGGGAGGGAGTCTGCTCCTCCCCTCCCCAACCTGCTGCCATGTCGGGCTGGGCCCACTGCTCCCCCCCACAGCTGTGATGGGCTGGCTCCTCCTCAGGCTTGGCCCTGGGCCCATTCTTCCCCCACCTCACCCCCTGTCCCCTGTGGCTCCAAGTCTGCTCCTCCTGTTCCCCTCTTCTCCTCACCCTTGGGCCTGGTCCTCCCCCGCATCAGGCCCGGGTGGGGAGGAGGAGAGCAGGCCCGAATCCCAAGCAGCAGGAGGTAAAGAGGGAGTGGGCCCCATCCCCACACACTCCTCCCCCTCTCTCCCCCCCGTCATTCCTGACAGGCAATTGGTTAATATACACACACACACAACTTTCCATCACACCTTAAACCACATTAAGAAACTACGTACCCATTACAATAAACACACCTGCACCCCCGCACCCACACCCCCACCTACTGCCCTTCCCTAACCCTTAGTTTAAGCGCCAATTCGGGGTTTACATTCTCAGTTCATTCCCTGTCTTTGTCAATACTGCTGTCACTTCTGCTGCTGCTGATCCTGTTGCTGTGTTCCTCGCTGTCTCCGGGTCCAACTGCATTGTTGTCCTTTTCATTCTCCCTGTCCTCTTCCCCCCCAGGGGGTGGTCTTCGAACAGCCTGTGCCAAGTATCACTTTTCCAGGTGGAGTTGGATGCATCTTCTCCATCCTCTCCCACCGCTTTCTCAAGCCGGCAAAAGCTCCAGGGACAGAGGCAGGCTGGAAAAGTGGGAATGGGAGGGAAGAAAATGGGAGGGCTGGGGGGAGGGGACATACTTTTGACCACATAGGGGAAAGTGGTCAGGGAATCCTTACCTTCTTTGGGTATGCTGCTTCTGTGGCATGGTCCAAAAGAGGGGTTCAGCTATGCCACTGTTCCTCCTCTGGATCTGCCCCAGGTTACAGTAGGCCATAAGCTGAATATGAGCCAGTGGTGTGGTCTTGTTGCAAAAAAAAAAACCCCAAGGGCATTCAATTGACAAGAATGTCACTGGCAAATCAAGAAAAGTGATTCTTCAGCACTGATAAAACGTCACCTGAAGTGCTGTCTACAGTTTCAGGCCCCACACTTCATGAAGGACATGGACAGTTTAGAAAAAGTCCAGCAGAGAGCGACACAAATGATAAGGACTGGGAAGCATGACTCATGAGGAACGCCTGAAAGAACTAGGGTTATTTAGTCTGGAGAAGAAACGACTGAGGGAAAATTTAATAACATTCTTCAAATACCTGATGGGTGATTATACAGAAGATGGAGATTAGACGATCCTCTGTTGCCTTAGGCAACAGGACTTGAAGCAATGCCCTTAAACTGCAGCAGAGGCCATTTAGACTGGAGATTAGGAAGAACTTTCTAATGATGAAGGTATTGGAACAGGCAAGCTAGAGAAATTGTGCAATCTCCATCCCTGGAAGTTTTCAAGAGCAGGTTAGACAGACACTTGGTTGGGATGGTTTGGGGGACAATTCTACCTTGAGTAGGGAGCTGGACTAGAGGACCTCATCAGGTCCCTTCCACCCTACTCTCCTATGATCCCGTTGTGATCTGGGTTTTTTCCAGTTAGTTAGAAAACAAACAGAACACAAACAACAACAAAAATCAAACAACCCTCAGAAGTTTACAAGAATATTGGCAAGATTTTAGAAATGTTTCTGAAGAGGAGTCTTCCATCCAGCTCTAAAAAGTAAGCCAACTTTTAATTGTTGGAAGAAAGCTTTTATTTCTTGCCAATTCATTTTACAGAGTATTGCTGTCAAGTTTTGTTTGTGTGGTGAGCACACACTCCAGTAGGCACCCAACCCATTTCTGTGCTTTTTTTAGGCCACTGTTTGAGATGAACATACTTTTTTATTCAGATGTCTTTGAATGCTTTAGGCCAAAATCTATTTCCCTGCTAATGCATGTCAAGTGTAGGTTTAAGTTATATTCCTCCTAGTCACACTGACAGTGACACCCTTTGTGTTCACCAGCTGGCTGTTCTTTGTGAAGTAGGGATAGCCTGACAAATTCATTTAATACACTTCACCAGTAAGGAGATACAGTGTTTAACACGCACCAAGTTTCACAGACCTAGGAATTAGTACATATACTCTCTCTGTCTCATATATATATATTATATATATATAATATATATATATATATATATATATATAAATAACATTGCAGCTGCAGCAACTTTCTGAATTACCCTAAGTAGATTAAATGATTTAAGCAAATAAATGAGCTGAAAAAATAATGCAGATGCCACCTTGCAAATATGACGAATCCAGGCATTCACAAACGAACAATTCATTGGTGTGACTATGATGACAGAAATTTGAATGTAATATCTATCATATACAGTAGCTTAAAACAATCTGTTTTTCTTCTCACTCACATACTCAGGAAGGAACCCAGCTGCTTAAAAATGTGGTTTCCATAATGTTCTTCCGTTTGCAAAACGAGACAGGAAAGAAACTCTATTCTATCCCCCACAACACCTCCTCCTCGTCTTCTTAAAATTATCCATCATTTATCACACCATGAGCAAACCCCAACAATTTCTTTAGAAACTTTTTTGTTCATGGAACATCACTCATGTATGTAGCCAGAGAGCAAAACCAATATAAGGCGGTAAGGTAACTATTCAGTGTAAATTGCAAATAACAAATACTGACAGAGCTAGAAATGCAATGAACAAGCACAAGAAGCACAAACAAGTTCATAAACAGCATGCATTGTTCACACAGAAGATGAACGAGCCAATGCTCAGACAGACCTAACACTCCTTATCCAACAGTCTCGGTAAGATCTGAGATTCACATACGCTAAGTTGTGACATTAGTCTTAATACTGTGGTTTACCAGGGAAGATTGGTTGCATTACTCAGCTTGCCCTGCTCCAACAGTTTGTTGCTTAAAGAACTATACTCCAAGAGTGAAAGTCCCACTTTTAAATATGGCAGCACAAATGAATCAGTCCACCCAAATACTGTGTTAAGATGCTGTCTGGTAAACAAGAAGAGCATGGGACCAGAAATAAATAGACTAAAATCAGTGTGCTAAAAGTCAGGCCTGAACGGTGGATGAAAAGTGAGGTACAACCCACTCATCGCCACTTTTGGCAGTCAGTAGTTTGACATGGATGCAGGAAGAACGGATGCCCTCAAATGGGTAAACGCTAGGTAGCTATTACTATCTTTATTATCCTGATCCCAAGAGATTGTTGTGGCTAGATTGTGCCACAGAAAAAGTAGAGGTATGCACCAACATCACATTTGTTGTTCATTTGTTTTTGTCCTGAAGCCAACTGCAAATGTACAGCT